TTAATACTGAGTAGAGAGAGGGGTAAGCAAACAAATTGATTTTAAAAGATGGCTCAAGAACTATTCTGCAAATTCACTTTTTATTGTTGTTTTCTTTTTGTTTTGTTTTTTGTTTTGTTCCTTAACAGAACAGGATCCTAGTTTATTCTTCCGTAGCTTCATCATATATTTAGCAGCTGTAATACGTCACCTATTTAATACAGGACATTCACTCCAATGTTTGACAGATATCGTATATTAGCATTATGTGAATCATCTCTCACAATAATAACAATCTAAGAGAGAAGTAATTTGAACAAACTCTAAACAAAACGAAGCAGCCCTGCGTTGGTGCTTTTAGACCGTGTATTTAGTGCTACGTTCTGCTTATGTTGGCTTTGAACACATGAAACATTGTATCACTTTTCTCGTGGGAGGGTTCAACACTAGAAAGGTGAGGTGAGGATCACAATTAAACGTGACGTGAAATTGATCATGGTCTTAATACCCAGTGGCAACTTATCAGGAAATAGTGGTAAACAAGTTCCTTTTTATTTCAAAACCCAACCAAAACATCTGTTTCTGTTACCCTATGGATGTTGAAATTCCAAAACGATTAAAAATTTCGATGTAATGTTATCCTGAATATACAAGTTATGTGTAATCTTCATACAAAGGTATGATAGAATACGCAATTCATATCAAATTAGTGGAAAAATACCAGTTTCAAGCACATGTTACATCAATCTTCAATCAATGTTTCTTCTTCGTGTATTTATCAAACTATTATACCGTGATCGACATTGACACCTTATATCCCAGCAGCCTATAAAATAACAAAAATATCTTTTGATCAATCTTGCTGTTATAAGATAAGTGAAAGCCACAGCTTGTATTTGAGCTATCAATGTCTCTTTTGAATACTCTTGTCCTTATATGTCTCTTTAATAAGTTAGAGACAATCCAATATATTTTTGAATATAAAAATGCTTTCTTTAAAAAGTTAATATTTATTTTGTGATATTTTTTTGTTTGTTTGCTTGTTTTTGTTTTGCCTTCCCAATTTAGCCTCGTTTAATATTTCCTTTGTTGACTTTCATAAAAATTGCCAGTGACTTAATGCTGCGACTATTTAAGCATTACAACGGTATATATTTCTCCCATCACAAAAAGTGTCTTTTCATAATTCAGATGTTTTCATTCATTCTTGAAACGTGTTTATTGCTTTTTATTTCATTGATTTTATAGTAAGACAAGAAAAGACATCACACTTTGAACATTCAGTCAAAGACCGTATTTTCAGTCAGAAAGGCTTTCTTTTATGATTCAAGATCACGTGAAATGAATATTTCGAGGATTGCAATATGCTTTTTATACTTTTGAACCATAAAAATAACTAGTAATAGTTTCTATTGATAAAAACGGGCCAACAAAACTCCACTCTTCTAGAAAAAAGCCCTATCCTGATAATTTCCGCTGTGCTTCACGTTATCCATTCATTTCAACATTCTGTTTCTTTCTGACTCTCTTGACACCGTGTCGTCCATATTGTTTTAATGCTGAAAGCTTTTTGGATTCATATTACAGAAAAATAATATTGACCGAAAACGACTGTCATTTATGATAAAGCTGTTCTGAAAATCGTTTAGGTCATCCGGATTTAGTACAATGTTTCTCCTGATAAATAAAGATATAGAGGATGTACGGAATAAAAATTGTCATCCAAAGCAAGCAGTATATGAAATATTACTTAATTTTATAATACTGATCACAAACAATTTCATCAGTGTTTCATTTCTTGTAAATTTCTTGTAAACATATTCCGTATTGCTTTTTTGACTTTTGGGGAAAAAAATTTACAAAATACCACATTTTGTATTGATTGAATTTCAATACTTATAAAATTAAAATCGAAATTTGAAAAAAACTTGAATTTAGTAATCTTCTAATATTACCAATTTTGAGTTTTCATCATTTTTTGTCCTAAAACTTCACAATTTGAATTTCTTTGTGTAAGGTACAACATTCATCTGCAAGGGTTTTTTTGTACGTCTGCGGGCGATCTTGGAAAACAATTGACCTCTTTTGGGTTTATAATGCGTATTGTTTGATATGTCATTTTGCCCGCACAATCATGCACATAAGTGAACGTTCAATGAGTGGAATGAATATATTTGAAATGCCCGTAGCCTGAGAATATTTGATTATTTAAAACTCAAAAGAAAGATATATCGGTGATCAGGAAGCGTCGTCGAATTTGCGTATAGTCTTGTTCATAATAAACTGAACCGAAAATCTGAAATACAATATAACAAAAAAGTATTGCAGTTTTCAAAAAAAAAAAAAAAAAAAAAACCATGCAGTAGTTATATTTCGACAAAAACTTTGCAGAATAATGAAGTAAAAAATCATACAGTTTCACCAATGTAAAAGTTAAAGTATAGTTCAATCAATCTTTCTTAGGACAAACATTTTTTGAATATTTGGACCTCAGAAGCAACTTTCAATTTACAATTATAAATATTTATTCAAAGTGACTGCTTTGTTTCTAGGCAAGGCTCCTTTTGTTCCATTTTTCTTGAATTTGAACGAATAATTTGAAAGAAAAACTGTTTTCTAGAAATAAACTTTTCATTTTGATACATGAAATAAAGGAGAAAACGAGCAGTATTCAAGCTAAAAAAAAGTCCGTTAGAACGTTTATCATGAAGCTTGGTTGTTTTACATGTATTAAAATATGACTTAAAGTCTTTTCAAGTAAAACATCAAAATATGAAACCGGCCACGGTAGCCTAATGGTAGAGCGTTCGCTTCGTGATCGGGAGGTCCGGGTTCGATATTCGTTCGCGGCGCCGCGTCAAACCTAAAACGTAAACATAGGTGGTGACTGTTCCTTCTCCAAGCGCTCGGCATTAGAAAGGAAAGTCACGGGTCTTTCGGATATTACCTTAAAAACGTAGGTCCCGTGTCACGGTATGCGTTGGCACGATAATGAACCCTCACTGCTTATGGCCATGAGTGCCGAGTAAAGGTCTAAATTTGAAGCCCTTCTTCGGCATTTGGTGACGTCTCTATATGAGTGAAAAATTCTGGAATGGGACGTTAAGCAATCAATCGATCAAAATATGAAACAGATGTGTCAGACTCTGTGGTATCTTTCATTTCAAGCTCAACGGCTATATCGTATCGACATAAGAATATTAAAAACCAGTGTTAATTATCAAAACTTCGTCGATGTGTCTACATGCAAATGTCGAGTAGAAGTAACGGCAATTTTTTCCTTTTTACATATAAGAAAAAATATAAAAACAGGTTTGCTTACAATGAAGCACAATTGGTACCCATGGGGATTTTAATAGACCGTTTGAAGACCTTGTTTCCAAAAATCCCATAAATGTCAATCAAAAACTCAAGCATGGTTTTGATATGAACTTCGAAGTACTTGTGTGTACAATAGAATGTTTTAAACAAACTCATTTTGCAACTGACCAATGTCAAGGGAAGTAATTTTTTTCCAAAAGTAAATTTCATAGCGGAAAAGTATATCTATTTCCAAATTCGATCTACTACAATATGTGAATTTTCCGTCTGCGTAGTACAGTTTTACCTTTGAAATGTAGAAATCTAGGCTTACTGGGTATGCTCATTTTGTTATATATATATTGATATGCAATATGTGGATATAATGAACGAGCCATACTTCCATTTAATATTATGAAATAGAAAAAGAGCAAACACCGACCTCCAAACATCAGAGGTTGGAAAAGATGTCATGGAGGAATGAGCATCCCCTGCCTACCGGTAACACCTGCCGTGTGTTCCTTTAATGCTCAGAAAGAAAGGATAAAAGCCGTGGACAACTGAAGGTGTAAATATGGCCAAACAATCAATATGATAAAGTCATTCAGCATTTGATCTAATGATAGATTGTTTTTGCTGATAAGGTCATTGTATCGACCAGAAAATTTTCGAAATGATAAGTTTGAACGGTTTACTAATATTCTTGTTTCTTGCAGTTTTAAGTATAAAATAAGCATTTATAGCCCCGAAAAAAGCACAGTGGAATTCGTCTAGAATTTAAAACTAACACTTTTGACCGACTATCAATGGGGATTTGGTCGGATTGTAACGAAACACTTTTCCAATCCATCATTATTTGCATCGCGTTTTGTACTGCGAAAATGTGTATACAATAAAAACATTGTCAAAAACTTACCTTCTTTTAGAAATGAAATGTCGCATGAATACTTTGGGAAATAAGTTCTAAAAGGACTAGTCTATATAAAGATTTTGCATATTAACTTTTTGAAAAGGACACCAAGAGGAAGAAGCGTCGGTTTTCATAGAAAATTAGTGTTTGTAACAATTATTAGTATAAGTAGTATAACTTTCTGACGAATCAATCAAGGGAGTAAGCACTAAGGAATAAAATGTAGATTATGATTCCTAAATGTTTTTATTTGTTACACATTTTCGCAGTACAATACGCAATGCAAAACAATGATGGAACGGAAATATTTTCATGATAATCAGACCAAATATCCTTTCATAGACGATCAAAAGCGTCTATTTTAAATTCTAGAATCCCACTGTGCTTTTGCAAGGCTATAAATGATTATTTAATATTTATAACTGCAATGAAATGTTTTATAAACAATTTTAGGCAAGGTTAGTAACAATATAAACAATAGAAGACCAATAATGTATTTGTTTCATATTAACAAAGCTTTATCGAGATTAATGCAATGTAAACATATTATCCGTCTTATATTGATCTTTCAGAACTGCTATGAATTATTAAGTAGCAGTTATTTGACTTCATTGTCCCAAACAATTCATTTTCCCCAAACCCTTTTGAGTTCTACTTGAAAAACATTGCCGAATACTGTATATACTTTTACTGGAGGGCCCTAGACGTTCTATTTCCAGTATATTCAGCTATTGCCCAAAATGGACTCCTCTATGGTGTAAGAAATCGTTTCTGATTATCTTAATGAAGTCCCACCACGAAGACTTTATTATCTGTCGATATAATTACTGTCCAGTGAGTTTAAGTGTTAAATATTTGTCAATCGTTAGGAAAAATATTCGTATGCCGATTTCTCTGTTCGAGAAGAACTTAACCGTGTGCAGCTATTCTCGTCTGCTTCAATCGATAGTGCGCGCGACTTGTCCCGCGGTACACCACCGCTATTTTAAATCACTTCCTACTAGGTCTGCGTTCTGTGTATCTGGATGCTGAGTTCACTGAAGTGTCTATCAAGGAAAAAACAACACGTAATCCGTGCATAATCTGGAAGCAGGTAAAAAGACAAAATATTCAACGACAGCGGACAAATTTTGAAAACTTTTTTATTCCTTTTAAAGAAGATAAAGATTATGGTAATTTTTTTTCAAAAAAGAAAAAATTGACAGATTTTATTTTTCATCTTTTTGAAAAAAAAGAGACATAAAATTAAGTTTTTGTTTTGTGGATGTGCTCCTTTAATCATTTTTGTTACCTTAAACTCTGATTCGTAAGCCGAATTTTAACAAACAAATAGAATTATACTGCTGTATAAGGATTGTATTGATTTTGAATTTTAGTTGCAGTGCATTGTAATCATTGGAGATTCCAACATCAGAACTAGGATAATTTAGAAAATCAGAAGTAATTATTGTCGGCTTTGTACGTATAGGAGTTGCGATTACGTAGGACGTGCATCAATACGCTCTGCAATCTGCATTTGAGTCGTAACGATTTGTGACAAAGTGACTGTTTGGAAAGTGCCATTGTTCTGGATTTATTGATAATCAACAAAAGGTAAAAACGCTGCATTTTTTCATCTTTTTTTTCCTCAGAATTTATTTAGAAATATGCTTGAGGTGCATGAATCAAATGTTAGGATCTTGTTACAAGATGAATTTTATTTCTATATTGACTTAAATTAAATCGTGTACTTTTCAGGTGAATAAATGATCTTACAATAGTAACGTAATTAGGATGACGGATACCGTTTAATTAACTTTCTTCATCGTTCATTAGAAGTATTAAGTAAGCATATCACTGTTTAAAAAAGAGATATTTAGCCCAACCAAGTGTTTAAAGAAATTCCGTTTCAATTGGTTGCCATTATAAACTAGCATGGATATTGTTTTTTGTCTTTTGACATTTAAAACAGTAATTTGTGGTTGTTTTGTTAAAAACAAATCTGGAGTATGAACAATAAAAATGTAAAGATGTTTGATGCAAAACTTTGCATCAGATCTTCTTCTATTTAAAAATAAGCTTAGGGTATTAGTTACATTTGTTTTGTTAGGTGGACAATAATCAAAAGCGTATCATATGAGGAAAAAAACGTAAATTGAATAAAAACATTAGGTTAGATGCATCCCCTGTTTTTCCAAAGCAAAACAGAAAAAATAAAGGTTTGGGGTCATGCAAATTTACAACAACCGACTCTTCTCGATGGAAACATTTCCTGCAACATGCATATCTTACACAAACAACTTCGCTTCTTTCTTTATCCTGATCACAGAAAAAATATTATGAAATTCATTTCATACGAATCAAATAAGATAGAAATTATTTCTCCTTCACGCAATAACACTATAATAATTTAAAGGAAAGCAGTTTTGTTAATATTATGAATATAATGAAGGTCTTGAATTTTTTCATTATAATTTAATCTGATAGTCTTGATCAGCTTTTTTAGTTGCAGATATTTATTAATGAACAGACAGAAAGCACTGAAGATACGAAACCTGATCAATGTGTCTTTTCCGATGTTTAAATCTTGCAGAATCTCTTTCATTTACAAACATCTGTCACCTTTTTGGTAATATCTTCACATTTCTCATCTTTTCGTCTATTGTTTCTCATTTCCAAGAATCTTCCAAGAAGTTATCTCATATCTCTACTACGTATAAATTTAACTCGAAATACGTTTTTAAAAATGAAATTACATACTTTCGGTAAAGTTTCACTTGATAAGATGAAGTATTAATATTTTTTAATCTACGATTTTTTATTTATTTATTTTTTTTTTTTGGTCACACTTAAATATTTTAAATTTGTATGTTTTTTAGGTCAACTACTGTACAACGACCGTATTAAAACAGGCACTCGCTTATACACATGTGAACAAGAACTTCTAAGGTGACCTGATTTTGTATGCTCTAATTAGCTAAAGTTAATGATCAATTATGCTAAACTGCTGGAAAAAGTACTCCGATAAAGAATGCGTTATCTAAATTCCATTTAGATTGTTCATTAGTTTCCAGATGACCCCCCATGCTGCTTTATTAATGGAACATCCTCCTTGTTTCTTAAAATGTGCTCCTCAGCTTTACCTAAATAAAAACCACCTCCAGCTCACCACATGGTGTCTTATAGTTTCCCCTCACTTTTTTTTTAAAGTAACGTATATGTTACCTAATAATAAAGGAAAAAATTTACACTCAATTTTAAGGAAATTTAAACTTTAAAACTGTTACAAGAATGTTAGCTGATTATTCGTTAAGGAAAATTAACATTCCATTTTAAGGAAAACTTTTTAAAATATAGTATCACAATATTAAATTGAATAAAAGATTTTAAAAAAAAATATTTTGATAATATCGTTTATTAACAATGTTAATTGAAATAGAGTAAAATGTATAACACCTGAAAATCCCAGATACCTTGTAATTTTTTATCATTAGTTTCCTACTTTTGAAAAACATTTATTTAGAACATAAAATTGATTATTCAAAACTAAACGCATCTTGATCCTTTCTATACTATATTTATATAAAGTGTATGAATTCAATTTAACTTTAGGAGGTTCTTTAGTGTGCTCCTTAATGTCTATTATAATAATATTAAAACCATCCCAAATATGTTATATTCATGGGTGTATATTTGTATGTCATTTTGAAATTAAAGAAAATCATTGATCTTGCTGCTTTTCCTTTCAAGGATTTTTTTATTGTGATATCAAGGTAACTGAACACAAAGGTTAACGATATCATCCATAAACGAACCAATGTTACGTGTAAGATACCTTGTATTCACCTCTTGTCCATTAGCGTATAAAATTTCACATTCAATTGTTTGGGCTTGCACTCCCCGTAAATGTTGATTTCTGAAACACTAGTATTGGAGTACGACACGAGAAATATTGTTTACAGATATCTAGTTTTCTCTCATTTCGATTGAAAGTCATGCATAAATTACCCAGGATTATTTATTAATGAATCCATCCATAATAAATAGGAGGTGAAGCGTTCAGAAAGAACATTAAAATATGCAAATATCGTTCAAATCCAACAAAATATATTTTATTGATGATTTTATCGAAGATAAATAAAGATAACAATGTCAGCGATCGATCTCAAATAAATCAACAAGCAATACAACTATAACAACAAGGAATATGAGTCCAGAATGAAAAAACATAAAGGTTAATAAAGATTGCTCAAGATGTTGCCTTTTTCTGATAAAAATAAACAAGCATTTTGAGAGCAATATATCGACGATACTAGTCCCCTAATGGCAAGTGCAATCCCTCTTCCCAATAAATTTGGAAAATACCTTAATTTCTTCAAAAAATTACTTAAATAGGTATCCGTAATATGAAACGAAATCCAAACTTGATCTATAAATCATCTAGATGCACACACATACAAAAAATTCCTTCAATATATGCAAAGGTTTAGATGAAGTGCAAAAAGACCAAGTAGAACAGACTGACAGACAGACGGACAGATAGGCAGCTCGACAAACTGATGGAAAGACGAGGACGAAACCCAAAGCACCCTCCGGTTTTTCCGGTAAGGGAAAAAATAATAGAACAACGCAGACTAATTATTTAATCCATTCAAAAATATATGCATACGTCATTAATTAATAATTCCTTTATTGATATTCAAGTACGTAATTATTTAAATGAAATTTGCTATGTGTTTCTGTTTTGAAAATTTTTGAGATAAATCAAATCTGTAGATATAGTTCAATCATTGATTTGAATAAAAGATTACCGTTGTGCTTCTAACGACTTTTCTTTAACAAAAGATTTAAAAAAGCACGCGGCCTTCAGGCTTGTTCTATATTTAGACTTTCCATCAAAATCTGAAGACCACGAGGCTTTGTTCCCAAGCAGCTCTGGGGAGAAAAGAGAATATTTTCTCAAGTAATGCGTAACTTTCGGTAGATTTATTGTTTTCAATTTTCCTGTGTCTCGCATACAGGATAGCGTTATCACGTTATTCTTGATTGAAAACACTTCAATATTTGCACAGAAGCACTCAGTGAGTGCTGTCCCTAGCATTTTGTGCAAGACAAAAATGCTTTTATCTCGCAGATAACATTTCTGGTTTTCTCCCTTCATTTCGTCAATTAATCACATCTTTGACTAATTGACACCCTGCTGCCCTTCTTTTAGGTAGAAAATATTCTTTTTCTCAATTGACTTTGGCACGACAAAATGTCGCAACGCTCAATTCCTAAAGGACCTCATTATACAAGTCACCACAAATTGCTTGTAAATGACTAGAATGGTTCAGAACAATAAGTCATTTTCTTCCTCCATTTATTGATTTTGTTGTTAAAAGTATTAGAATAAACATTCAGAAAACTCTGAAGACGTGTTAACTGCATCATCCCGTGTATTCAAACAACTCTGAGAACAATTCAAGTTTTTCCTTAAAATGATAATTGACCGTTAGAAGAAATGTACTACTTTCTTTAAACTCACTATACAGTCCAGTCCAATACGAAAATTCGTAATTTTACGAAAAAACGTAAGATTACGAGAAAGCGTAATATTACAAGTTATCGTAATATAAAACTTATATTACGATTTTTCGTAATGTAGTTAAATTACGAATATGCGTAATATAGCAGATGTAAGAGACTATATTACGAGTTTTCGTAATCCAAGACAAATTCAAGCATTACAAGAAATTGAGTGGTGGGTAGCAAAGTATGGCGTTTAATACGAGATGTCACGGGCGATAGCTAGTACGAAGCTTACTGAGATTTGAAATTCTGTGTGTTTTAATAAGAACTGCACGAACAGTTGAATTATGAAACAAGGGTGTGATTTTTAGGGTAGACTTCGGAAGAAAAGTAGGGAGTTCGGGTGATATAGACCAATGCTACATGCTTGAGCGAATATTGAAATTTACTGGAAAATTGTTCTTATCCGTGGGAAAATTCCTATAAAAGAATAATAAAAGAAATTGTCCACTCAGCCATCGCTGGCGATACTTTCTTCTTGAATTTCCATGCTTTCTGATAGGCGTAACTGACAAATCTGACGGCATGCTATCATTAGCCGTGGAATCTGATATATTACTGACGTCATACTTTGCTACCCACCACTCAATTTCTTGCAATGCTTGAATTTGTCTTGGATTACGAAAACTCGTAATATAGTTTCTTACAATCTACTATATTACGCGTATTCGTAATTTAACTACATTACGAAAAATCGTAATATAAGTTTTATATTACGAAAACTTGTAATATTACGAATTTTCGTATTGGACTGGACTGCTATATGCAAACAGACTAGAAAAGTATGTTATCTATTAATCGTGTCGACAATATTGTTGCAGTTATGAGAAACATGATAAAGTCAATATCTAACCTATTTCTTCATCGCTTTCGTTAAGTCCCAAGGACCTAATTACCATAAATCATTAAAGATAATAACAAACTTCAACAGAGGTACATGTACCAGTATGCACGGACGTCACGTACCTCAGTCAACCGAATGTAGAAACATAGAATTCAGTTTCCAAAGAGGCAGTATTTTATCAGTTATAAAACCTTAACATAAAACAAATACCTTTCAAAATATTATATCTAAAAAATTAATTTAAAAAATATTCAAGTACAATTAAATGACATCAAAGGAACGATGAATCGTACACTGCTATTGTGTATATATAATATACATCTATTCACTACACATGAAGGGAAAACATATAAATTTTTGAAGAATCATATTTTTTCTGATATTCATTATCGAAGATCGTTGGTTATAAAACTAATGTGTCAGCTACAAGGAAAAGAAATTTGTCCTTCCTTAATATCCAAAATGTCTACAGAATGTTTTAATGTACATCTAATGCATTTCTATAATTGATAGAATGGTCGTTCTCGTCAGGCCTCATTTCATCAAGTTGAGGCAAAATTTGAGGCAATATGTTTTCGAACGTTTTCTGTTTGCTCATGAAAAGGAGCAGACGGCTAACGTGACCTTTCGACAGGGTATCTATCTTCTCTATGGCACCTGATTCCACTTCTGATTATTTTTTAGGCCTGTTTTTGCTCTGTTCTTATAATGCATTGTTCCAGTGGACTACTGAAATGTTTTTTCTTAATGTTTTTTTTTCCTTGTAATTTCGAATACAATTAGATTGTTTTAAAAATTCCACGTTAATTATATGGATTGTTCTATGCTTTATTTCTGATATTAATTACAAATATATTGATGTTAATATTCTTCTGATTGCGAAACTCTCTTACCATGGGTTACACTATCGTCTAGCTGTGTATTAAGATTGTTTTTGGCAGATAGGTCTGTAAAATAATATTTTGGATATGTTTGGTATCAACGTCGAACGACAATAGAGCTGCATTAATTCAAATGAATAAAATATTAGATTTCTATTTGCCTTCGGTATAAATCGCCTACTTTTGTACATTGTAATCATACAAAGTGTTTTTTGCAAAAATCAAATTTCATCTCCATATTTCTTTAAAGGATAATGGTATTTTTAAAAGTCGATTTTTATTGCACTATTTAAAGAATACTTCAAGCAATCAGTTCACTTTCTTTGAATTCACAGCGATCTGCGTTTTAACCAAGTCCATTATTAGCTGAAAAGAAGGGAAAATAACGGAAATATAGTCATATGGCTTCTTTTTCTTGGATGCAATCAGATTATGGCTATAAATAAAATAGGAATCTAGGTCTAAGAGGCTAAGAATCCAATATGGCGTCAGAAACATTAAATTATTTACTGTCTTTTATAGGCCAGGCATTATAGCGTTTTGTTTTCTGAAGACAATCTTCGATTTCTGTTGTATTAGTTATTTCTTTAGCTTCAATGGCACAAAATTGCTCCCCGAAATCGATCTTTCCAGATTTACATGGGGTTTAGGGG